CAACTTTTGAGCAGAGTTTCTGAGTCAAGTTGGGAACCAGTGGGAAACCCCGTAGATGACTGGCACATGTGGTCTGAACAAGTTTGAACTAAACCAAACGGACTTTCAACTGAGCCTGAGCAGACCTGAGCTGTGTGATAGTGGTTTACCATGTGTTCTAGACTAAAAACCTCCTAAGAAAATTTGAACCATCGTGGCTGGATTTGGATGCAAATTGCAATTTTTCGACCATTGAGGATTTTCACTTCTGCAGTTGGAGTGTATAATTCTTTTGGACAGGTGCTGGAGCTGCCGACCATTTACCCTAGCAGGTAAGCTAACTACATGTGTTATTAAGATTTTCTACAAGCGCCTAGGCTGCATCCTCCTGAGGACCCGGGAGAATGGAACTAGTAAAACACTGAAAAAGCCCAACAATAGCATTTTTAAGTTATCTAAGTGACTTAATTGAAACCCCCCACCCCACCCAGCTAGCTATTGAGCTGGTGGGTAGTAGACGTCTCCGAAAGCGTCGGCGCACTCTTGCAAGTATATGTTGTCTTAATAAACTGAACAGATATTAGCAATTTACATAGCTACATTAACGCCTGAAAATATCTTAAAAGTTTATTTTGTGACCCAGAAAGAGTAATATTAAAACTAATTCCACAGGTAGAATTTGCACATGCGCAATAAGGATCGGGGAGTCCGATCCGTAACTTTTTTTTCTTGTTTTTTTTCTACATTATATTGAAATGTTTCAATATTGCAAACATTTTAAGTGATGCTTATTGTAAGGAGGACTTATTTCTCGGACAAATTTAGAGGAGTCCACTATGAATTTGGGCAGCCTTCGTCGCGCCACTGTGTCGTAATCGGGCTACAAGCAGCCTCTGAAGGCTTTAGCTCAGAGTAGTGGCCAGCGCAAAAAGTAATGTTTAATGTTAAACACTCTGATATTTAGACAGACATCACTAAATGACGGTATCTCACGCTGGCTTTTTACAGCACTTCTGCCATGGTAAAACTTATTAGCTTATTACCCGTTTTGTAACCAGTTTCAATGTTATCTTTGCATGAAAACGTTATGTTAACATTGACAACAAACTGGGCCAAGCACGCGTTGTCATGGAGACGCTTTCATGGGTCGGTGTAGGATATGTGCGCCAATTATATGACAGTGATATAAGTAACTTGCATATTGTCTAATATTGTTTTTTCACTTTTTCAATAGTCACCGTTTATCCGGTGCAGCACTGTTACTTTAAAGTAATGTTTAAAGCTGACTTGACAGTTTGTCAGCTGGTGTAAGATTGCCTAATGTACTGTAAGTTAATGTCACACGCAAATTAAAGTTGTACTTCATGCTCTGTATTATAAGATTGCTACATTTTCAGAGCTTTTTACATAATGGGAAAGGAGACAATATTTAAGGAATGATTGTGTGTTGTTGATGTGTATTGTGTTACAGATAGTATTATTTTTTCTATAGTTATTGCATTTTTTTATCATAGTAACAAAAAATGTTTGAATTCAAGGTTGCATTTATGTTACATGTCATGTATGTTATCAATCATATACTTGATATAGTAGACAAGTGGTCATATGTAAGTTAATATGATTCCTTACATATTTTTTTCATGATGTCTCTGGTTTTGGCTTGTTGATGTATTCAGCTCCTGCATCTATGGATTCCTTCTGTGTGTTAGATATGGATGTTTTATCCCATTGCAAAAGTGCTTTTGGCAAAATTGACTATGTCTCTTGTGTTTCAGGGGTGGATTTCATGCAGTGCCGATTTTGCAAATTCACAAGCTCCAGTCAAGAGACTCTTTTGAAACATTTCCGCCTTCATCACGGACAAGGTGCACATTGGCCATGCATTCACACAGACTGTGTATGTGTATTTAAAACACCTGGAGCATTACGATCACACCTCTCAAGGTCACACTCAATAGTAAAAATCCACAAAAATTCCACATTTCAGTGTGAATTGTGTGACTTTAAGGAGATTTGCAGTGAGAAAACCTTTTGGAACCATCTTGGACATCATTTAAAGAACCGAGAAACCGTACAATGTCCCTTTTTAAGGTGTAATTTTAAAACAAACATTCGCCCAACCTTCAGTTCTCACAGAAGTCGAAACCATAAAAATTGTACACTTGAGGATTTTCGAACAATTGCAAGAACTGTTTCTGAAGATGAGATAATTGAAAGTGAGCAATCTGATTGTGAAGCAGGAACATCAGCTTATAATTTTGTGAGACCAGATGAGCTTGACAAGATTGTAAAGGATGTGGATAGTGAGACACTTGAACACAAACTGGCATCTCTCTTTCTGTGTATGCAAACAGTGTTGCATGTTTCTCGAGCTGCAACACAAAAGATTGTAGAGGATTTCCATAACCTGCTCTCTTTCTCTAACATTCATACTCTCACCAGTGTAAAAGAGATCCTTTCAAAGCATGAAATAGAAGTAAATGATTGTGTTTTGCAAGACATTTCTAATGCCCTAGTTCAAACTAATCCACTGCTTTTAACAACATCGGAGAAAGGTTCCCTATCTACAGATCACAGAAGGAATATATATTTCAAAGAGCAGTTTTCTGTTGTAGAACCCACAGAGTATCTGTACAACACAGCTCATAAAAACTCTTTTGTTTATATATCTGTCACTAAGATACTTGAGACTTTACTGGGACGGGCAGATTTTTGGACCAAATTGTATTTAATCAAGAAGCTTTATCTGGACACTTTAAGTCATTTCAAGACGGCAAGTACTACAAGGGCAATAAGTTACTGGGACAACAAAACTTATGTATCAGTTTGGGGTTGTATATTGATGATTTTGAAGTTTGTAACCCACTGGGCACCTCTAGAAAACGTCACAAGATTACTGCAGTATATTGGGTAGTTCTTAATTTACCACCCAGATTTCGATCTAATCTTTGTTCAATTCAGCTTGCTCTCTTAGGTAAAAGTGTGGATGTCAAACAATATGGTTATGAAAAGTTTTTTGAGCCACTGATTAAAGATATAAGGTGTCTAGAAGAAGAGGGAATTTTTGTGGAAGTTGTAAGCCAGTTTATTAAGGGCACTGTATATTGTGTGAGCGCAGATAACCTTGGTGCACATGGTCTGGCAGGCTTTTATGAAAGTTTTACTGTTGACAAGTTCTGTCGCTTTTGTTTGATAAGTCGGGACAAAATTGCAACGACTGAAGTTAATGACTTCCAATTGAGGGGTGTTGATCAACACAATTCATTTCTGGAAGAGCTTAGGCAAACTGACAACCTCCAAAGTGTTAATGGGGTAAAAAGGGAATGTGTACTGAGCAAACATTTACTATTCTTTCACCCAATAACCGGATTTCCTCCAGATATTTTGCATGACCTTTTTGAAGGCGTCATTCCTTTGGAGTTGTCCTTATGTTTAAAAAAGCTGATCTCAAAAGGGTTCATTACATTTGATACATTAAACAACTTCATAAAATCATTTCCCTACAAATATTCGGACAAAGTAAACAAGCCTCAAAAAATTCCAAAAACAAGCTTTGAGAAAGGAACAGTTTTTGGTAATGGACATGAAAATTGGACACTGCTGCGCTTACTTCCTTTTATAATTGGATGTAAGATACCAGAACAGGAGCCAGCTTGGGAGATTTTAATGGACCTCAAGGAAATTGTTGACATTGTTGTCTCAAACAGACTCACTGAGGAAGCATTGTGTTATTTATCTTGCAAACTACTGGATCATCGCTTGTTGCTTACCAGTACCTTTCCGGACTTCAGACTAAGGCCAAAACACCACTTCATTGACCACTACCCACATCTTATACGCTGCTATGGGCCGTTAGTGGAATTGTGGACGATGAGATTTGAAGCAAAACATAGCTTCTTTAAAAAGGTGGTCCATGACACTCACAACTGGAAAAATGTGCTGCTAACTCTTTCCTTGAAACACCAGCAAATGATGGCATACCATCTGGATAGTGGGAACCTTTTAAAACCAAAGCTCTATGTTGACAATGTGAAAGTGGTCAGGGTTTCAGAATTGGATCCATCAATCAAGTGTGAAATACAAAAGAAGTACCCTCATCTAGACAGTGTGTCTCTGTCTAAAACCGTTCATTTTTTTGGGACACAGTATGTGGCGGGCATGATTTTATCTGCTGGGCAATGCAGTGGCCTCCCAGAATTCCACAAGATTGTGACCATTCTTGTCAATGCAGAGGAGGTGACATTCATTTGTAAAAGACTGAGTTCCTGGTACATTGAACATTTCAGGTCCTATGAGCTTGTTGAACACACCTGTGCAGACCTTCTTGTGCTGGATCCAGATGTGCTGACGGATTATCACCCTCTAACAGCATACACAGTTGGTGGAAAGCTGATGGTGACCCCAAGGACGTACCTTCTCTATTAAAGCAACTTTATAATGGTATGTTCTCTCCCCTCCACCCTGTCTCCTATTCTGATCTCCCCTCTCACCCACCCTTTTTCTCTATTGTACTCTACTTCAAAACTCATTTCCCCTTGCTTTTTCTTTTCTTCTCCACACACTTCTTTCTTCTATCACTCTGCTATCCTCACCAAATTATCTCTCTCTCCTTTGTTTTCTCCTCATTAAGCATTAGTTTTGTGCTGAATGAATTGAAGGTTTTCCCAAGTGTAGGCCAGTTGAGTACAGTGGCTGAAGAAAATGAAAACTTGGATATAGACTTGAGCTTTATTTAAAAAAATTTTGTGTGTGTGTGTTTTTTACATTTGTAGACTAAATCATTTGCAAATCAAATGTAGTCAGCAGATTCATCTGGAAAAAGGCAGCTGTATGGTATAGGTGTCAACTGTCTTCTAATTGTGTTTGGCTATTGATTTTCTGCCAACTTTTTTTTCTCCTCTTTTCAGACTTTGTTACTTCGGGTAGTTCTTTCCTCCAGAGAAGCCCGGCGAGTCCAGCTTCCTGAAGTACCAGCATCTGTGGGACAATTGATTGATATACTTAAAGAAAGACTTGAACTTGCAGGTGACTTCTCACTACAGTTTGAGGATCCAGATTTCGGAAATGCAATATGCAATCTTACAGCAATATCTGAATTACCAGCTGAGCGTGCAGTCCTGCATATAATGTGGAACTGTGATTCATCTACACTTAACCAATCCATTGCTTCAGTGTCCTCTGCTTCAGTCTCTTCCCAGGACACAATAAGTGTGCACTCTGATGATTTCAGGCCTAGCTGGACCGATACTATCCAGATGAACTTAAGACATGTGTCAGAGTGGCCCTCTCCATTTTCTATTCCCAAGTTTTCACATGATGTTGAACTGAAATTGTGTAAGGCTAATGTGACATATGAAAAATCTAAGAAGGGCCTTGCAGTAACAAGAGACATGAAGATGGAGATTTTGGATAAAATTGCAGAGGCAGTGTTTGAAATTAAAGCCTACCCTGAGAAAGATGAGGTTGAGTCAGTGGCTTCTGCACTGGTTCTCAAATATCCATGCCTGAAGGAGCCAGGTAGCATCACAGGCTACGAGGGATGGAAAGCAAGTATCAAGCACAAACTTGGAAACTACAGATCAAAGCTTCGTCGGGCAGGCTGCAATGAAGTAAATGTAAACAGGAAAAGGAAAGGAGAAGATGAAGCCAGCAGTCCTTTCACCCTTAAAAAGCCCAAACGTGGAGAGGTCAATCATGTCCCAGATTATCCACAGCACCATGATGATTCTACTCTTGAAGAGGAAAGAGTTGCTCTGGTCAGTGAAATGAAGAAGAAACAAAAGAACTTGAAAGTCATACAGCAGAAGATGGCGCTGACATTTTCTCTCAGGCGGAGAGAGGTTGTGGAGTGTCAACCTATGGTATCTGAGGTCCAGGAGAGATGGCCTGGGCTGTTTTCCTCTGAGGAGGTAAGAGTGTCCAAATTTATTTATAATTTAATTATTATTCAAATTGGGCATGACTTATACTAGATGGACTATTATTGAAGTAGTACAGTATTTGCTGGTGTAATGCATTGGCCAACTTTATTATACCTTGTGCAACCAGTCCACATTGAAATCTGTGACCCATTAGATTATTTGACCTGTCATAATATTCTTACCCTGAACATTTCTGCCAGTACAAGAAAAGAGTCCCCATGCTAAATCAAAATTGTTCTTCCTGTGAAACAGAAAGTCAATCACATAATTTTTGACTTAGCATGTATGTTTTTTTTATTTTAGTGCTGGAAATAGGACTTCTATAGACTGAGATTTTTAGGGAAAGAATACTAAGGCAGGTCACATAATCTGATTCGTCACAGATTTTGGTGCAACGTAGAACATAATATGTATTTGCATATTGATACTGTTTTTTGTGGAGGGTGTTTCTATTCCTGTGCAAAATGTGTATTCATGAGAGATTTTTGAAGTAGGTTTTGCGGTTGATAACACAGTCAGGCATATAACATGGTGCAGACTGTACAAGGCAGCTACCCATTAATTTTCTGTGCTGAATAAATGGCAATATTTTGGTTATTGTCTTGTTTAGATATCTGAAGAATTTCATCGGATCACAAGCAAAGACCTCCTAGGGACGTTCAATGCATCCCTCAACAAATTTGTGCCTGGCCTGCTGAAACTATACCGGTCTAAGAAGGGAGCTCTTGGTGAGGACATGGAAGACCTCTTGGATAAACTTGATGAACAGGTAAGTGCTCCTTTACCTGACATTTTTAGAAGAGAGTATACCTTTGTCATAACAGAAAAAAATGTTGGCTTCAGCCAAAACACATCAATGGAAATGAATGTAATCAGTCATTACTTTGTTTTTATTTGGCGGTATTTTATTTAATTTGTAAAAAGAAAGTAAAATCGTTAAAATGGTGTTTTGTTTTTTAAGTTTTACATGTTGCTGGGCCTGATCTGTATTTTATTTTCATTACTATAAGAGTTCTGATTTTGCATTGTGTGTAGGTACACCACGTTACTATACTAATTTAAATGCTTGTTTTCCACTGAATGCTCTTTAGACATCTGACATTGTGTCCCACCGAAAGACAGCAGCACTGAGAGGCCTGCCCATTTTCCTCAGAGAGGATGCAACACAGGTTTTCCTGAAGTGCTTAGTAAGTACAAAAAAGTAATGCAAGCAAAACTAATTGCTATGAGATGTTTTTAAAAGATGATTTAATCCAAAATGGAAATGTCCACTTCCTCAGTGCAGTCCAGATAATTTTATGGTGAGGATTGCAGTTGTCATAACTCTCGCTGCTTTTTTTTCTGCTGAGGAGCACCTGGGCATTGTTAGTGGGTGTTCAACAGCAGAAAATATTTTTGTACAAAACTCATCACAAGGTTGGTTGGTGAAAGATATTGTGCTGTTAATTAAAGGAAAATAAGCTTTTTCTTTTTAAAACCTCCATGAGTCAAATGAGCATCATGGTATAGAGGTTAAAGTTAAGATCTTTAGAAATGTATTTTGTCTTTAATTTTTCTTAGCTTTCAATAATTCATATTTTACTTTTCTTCTCTTCAGGACACTGACATTTTGGAACCAGTGTTGAACGGTGCATCAGTTGCCATCCTCACCATCCTGCAAGATGACGATGCCGATACGTCTGTGCGAGAACATGCTGTTGTGTTGGAAGGGGACATCGTGCTACATAACATTCCAGACCTCTCTACTGCCTTGGCATACCTCTTTGGCCTTCTGTATGCCCTCAACATTGATTATCCAAAGCAGATGAGTTATACCTTTGAAGCAATTCAGGGCATCTTTTTTGAACTCGGTGGCTCTCGATGCTCACAGCGCATAAGGTCTCTAAAAACAAAGCTTTTGCTGTGACTGTTAATGGGGAAGCCAGACATGAGTTTAACTTGTTCTTAAACATGTTCAAGTGCATTGTAGAGTCATGTAAAAAAAAAAAAACCCAGTAGTTCAACCCCTTTCCCTCTATATAATCGTTCACCTGTTACAAAGAGTTGCATATTTAGTGTTTGAACTGTTAAAATTAATTAGGAATAAGTGAAGGAAAGAGGGAGGAAAGGAAGAAGGGAGAAAAGAAGGAACAGTCAAAACAGAATGGTTCATTTTGACCTGGTCGGTCAATATGAAGTTGAAGTGGATAAGGGATTATTTGAAATGTAAATATTAGTCAGATGAATCTGTATTATTGAGAATCTATGGTGAAATTTTGTCTTGTAGGATTTTATAAGATTTGTTATAGTGTTTTTCACTCCACCTGAAGTATGGAACTGGTATTTTACCTGATAGTTCGCTGTTCATTGATGGTAACATTTCTAATAACTTTTGACTTCTGTAGTTCATCATAGTAAGCCCATGTAAAATGTCGATGTCTGGGTACATAGGCAATTGTTTGTTGCACTACCCTATTTAGTGTGCAATAGTTAAGTTAAGCTTTTACAGGACAGCCAGGGTGTGAACGTGAATGACTAAGCTGCTGGACACTTTTCTTTTTTTCTGGACTCTGGAATTTTAATGTCTCTGCTGGGGTGCTCAAAGCACCCTAAAGAAACTGGCAACACGTTTTTTTCTGTTTGTTTGCTTTTTTACAGAAATTCACCCCACTGCCCATGACCTTCTGAAATATACTGAAAGCACTGTTGAAAAAAATAAATACGTTTTTACATAACATTCAGTTGTGCTTTGTTTTATTCTATATCTGTTTGAGTGTTTTTTCAAGTACGATAACAGCATACATTTTTCTTTATTTATATTGGTAAATTTTCAACTCACTGGAGTAAGAATTGTATGATTATTCAACAAGAATATCTGCGTTTGGTGAATTTAGGAATACATGGCCTTGGAGGGAATAATTGTATGTTAATTCAACAGGAATATCTTTGTTTGGTGAAGGCAGAAATACATGGCATTGAAACCAGAATTTCTTTGTTAGACTTACAGGATTATCCTAATTAGGTGAACAAGTAGATCCAAGTTGGCAGAACATGAAAATATTAGTTAAGTCAACTACAGTTGGCAGAAGTTGAGAAAACTCAAAAATCTCTTGCATCATGTTGCCTTGAAATTTTAAGTTTTCTCAACTTTTTCTTTTTTACAGTGCAATCTTTGAACACAGGGAACACACCTGGCGTCATTCACTACACACAATGACTCAAAATTGAAGACACTTGTTGCTAATGCTGTACCCACATGTAAAAGCAAGTTCAGAGTTCACAGTATGCTGAAGGTTCCAAACAAACACAATGGATGAAGGCAGAGTCAGGGGAAGAGGAATTTGATGCAGAGGAGGGAGAAGAGCTGGCCCTGGAAGAAGAGGAGCAGGCCAATGAGGAAGAGGAGAAGGCCAACATGGGAGAGGAGAAGGTCCAGGAGGGAGAGCAAGACAACCTCGCACCATCATTACGGACGAGATGCGAGCAACAGCTCAGCGACATGATGCCGCACAGTGATTGTGGTGTGTGTGTGGTGTGAATAACGTAAATAAAAAAACTTCACACCCTGTTCATGTTTTCAAGATTACTGTTGTGTGCAATAGATTCTGTTTTTGCATTGAGTTGTGTTACAGTAGTGTACGCACATGCAGGATTTTCTATAGATTTATACTACTCATATGAAACTCACAAATCTAAATGCCTAATCCTCTGCAGAGATCTACGACGATCCGTTACTGTATAGTTTCTAAAATATGCATTGGCAGTTATGAAACAAAGAACCTTCTCACAAATTGAGCATTGTGTTTTCAATTGTTTTGCTGTAGTGTGTAATGCTGTGTATAGTGTTTACAGTTTTGACAGCTTCGAGCTGCTCTCTTGGTGTGGGAGTTTGAGTTTTGCAGTGGGAAGGTGTGGTTGTGTTTATGTAGCTTTAGAGAAGGGTGTTGTGTTTGGACATTGGGGGACCTGGTGGTAACGTTTGTGACATGTGTTTTAGCATTTGAGAAAAACTGTAACATTTTACTCAGGAAATGAACCTCTCACTGAAGCATTACAGAATTATTAAAAACCATTATAAAATATGTATCTATATAGATTTTAAGTTACTGACTGACAAAGATTACATTTTTTAAAATGCCCAAGTTCCTTCAATGATTCAAAAAAGAAGGAAGTCAGAGATTGTCAAGAGGAATCAGCCGAGGGACATGAAGTCATTACTATTTTTCTGTAACTGGCAGTTCTGCATAGAATAAAAATAATGTAATATTTCAGAACCTTGTGGTGATTTCTATCAAAATATCAAAATACCTACCAAATTAGGTATCACAGAGCGTAGACAGGCCCCACTCCTACTGGATTCATCCATCAGTCAGTCCATTGTAGTGAGTTACTATGAAGACGTGCATGCGGGAAAGTGGCCAAAAGAATCCTTTCTTGCACATAAAATAGATGTCCTTAAAGGTCCCTGCAACATCTGAGAAAGACTTCTAAAAGCGCTGACCCCCGCAGTCATCGCAGGCACTTAAGAGCCGAGGTCACCTCTCTATATCAGAACAAAGTTGTCTGGCAGGCAGTGCCAAAAGTGAAATGGATTCCGAGTCCGTTTAATACCCAGCTTTGACTCCGCTTTGTCTATGATCTCTTCTGAGTGCCTTGAAGCCATGGGCCATCATCGCAGGGTGAATGCAAACTTTCAGATGACAGGGATGGATTTGGTATATCAGGAGAAAGCACTGAACGTTAAATTTGAAGACCTGTCTCATCTATCAATTCAAGATCGACATACGTGAGTTAACGAAAGCACATCCCTCTTTTCCTCCTTTATGAAATACACCTCCGTTTTTCTTTTCTTTTTGTGATGTGTATGAGATATATCTGGAGGTGACTTTTTGGTGCAGAGAATAGTAGGGGGGATTCTTTTTTTCTTCTTTTGAGAAAATCAGGCAGCAGTTAAGAAACTCTATCCCTTTGATATGAGCCCAGGATAGACAGCTCTGAAGTAAAAGTAAGCTGCAAAGTATGGTAAAACTCCCAAGTAGTCGCAGAGTGCCAGGGAAAGAGAAGAGTTTGTTGAGGTCATTGTTAAACCCTGTAGTATAAGCTTCTCAACAATAGATTAAGTGGAGGAAGGGGGAAAAAACGCTTTACAGGCACAACACTTGGAAAACTGCACACACGGGGGAGAACTCTTGTTGTGCTTTAAAGTGCTAAAGATTTCACTGATCCCCATTTTCCGGACAGACGTGTTCAAAAACAAAAAAGAAAGAAGCAACTCTAGGCTGTTATTATGTCTTTCACAGATGGTGCCTATTGTTCGCTCCGCTCTTGCTAACAATGCGGCTATACAGATTATTCCAAACAGCATCACCAAATCACAAACTGTTTCCACCTCACCTTCTCTGTTTGCGCTCTCTCCACCTCCTGCCTCGCTCTCCTCATCACTGTAAACATGGCTTATTAAGGGTAGAGAGACGTTACATTTGAATAATTAACGCAAAACCCGTCTCCTTGCGTATTGTGTGTTTTGAAGGGTGTCTGTTTTGAAGTCTTAATCTACTGAGCCACATTGTTGCAGAGTGAGCCGCCTGTATGTTGGCAGTGACTCGGTGTCAGTCAGTCAGTGTGAATTCTGCTGACTTTGTTCTCCTGGCGAGCATCAGAACAAGCAGGGGAGCGAGAAGATAGAGACCTCAGAACTTTGCACAAGCAGCCAGCCATACAAAATGGGGAAAGCAGTCTGCAGGACCTTGAGGGAAAGCCCTGATAAGAATTGTGTCTTATCATAAACCCCACAACTGAATTATTCATGTGCTGCAATTATATTCAATCTCTTATTTGATTTGCAGGAGAATGTGGGCGTGAAAGCATTTCTTTGAAGTTTGGAAATGTTGGCCGTTGGCTTGGGAAACAAGTTAACAAAAAAAAACATTTTTGCATTAGCGGTGGATGCTGCTGTAGCCTGCTTTGATTACAAATGACAGCTGCCACTGATTGTCTCATATTCATTCAGGATGCGCTGTTTTTCTAAAACCAGCAGACAAAATGACAGATAGTGACAGATGGTTCAGGAGTTAAGTGATTTATTTTGTTGTATTATAAAAACACCAGCAAAACATGGCATCAGTGATGTTATCAGCTGTTGTGTGCATGTATTCATGAAGCTCAGTCTACATAGCTTTTAATGTAGTGTGCCGTTAAATGTATGACAGGTGTCTGTATACACATACACCCAGAAAAAAGCCACATGGGAGAAAAAAAGCCACATTTTATGACAAGTTCCCAAACTTTATTGCATTCACATAAGATAAATCCATTTGAGTGCATGTGATTATTTCATTCCTACATTTCACTCAATTGTGAGCAACATATATAGTTGGTAAAAAGTACGTCTTTCAGTGCTAATTTTCACATATGCATCAGGATATGATAAAAAATAATAATTTGGTTGCTATTAGGACTAAAAATCAAATGAATACAACCGCAGATGGACAACTACACATGATGGTTTTATTATTTATTTAAGAAAAACTAAGTAAAAATCCAGAGGCAGTCTATATTTCCATCCAATGATTCAGTAGTTTGTAGAACCACCTTCGGCAGCAATAACATGAAGTAATGGTGACTTCATCAGTCTCTCAGATCAACGTGGATTACATTTGGCCCACTCTTGAGGTTTGCAGGTGTTCATTTATGCACAGCTCTCTTAAGGTCCCATCACAGTATCTCAGTGAGATTAAGGTCTGGAATTTAATTGGGCCAGTCTAACGCCTTGGTTCTTTTCTTTTTCAGCCGTTATGTTATGCTGCTGTGCTTGGGATCATTGTTCTATGATTAATGACTGCAAGGTATCCAGGTCCTTTGGCTGTGAAACAAGCCCAAATTATCACCCCTCCACCACTGTGCTGACAGCTGATATGAATTATTTGTGCTGATATGTGGTGTTTTATTTTGTTTATTGCAACCAAACATCTCCACCTTGTTCTTATGTGTCAAGCGGATATTATTTGCAAACCTAAGTTGAGACAAGAGGCTATGTCCTCAGAACCTTCTAACCAAGTCTTACTTTTTCAGCATTTTTCTAATTGTACTGTCACAGGATCTAATATTTAACATGCTAAATAAGGCCTATAGAGTTTGAGATGGATCTCCCTGGGTTTTTGCAGCATTGTTTTAGCATTGCACAGTCTGACCTTGGGGGGAATTTGCTGGGATGTCCACTCCTGGGAAGATTAACAGCTGTCTTAAATGTTTTCCACTTGAGAATCTTTCTCACTGAAGAATGATGGGCTTCAAATTATTTGTAAATGGCCTTATAACCCTTCCCAGGTTGATGGGCAGCACCGGTTGCTTCTCTCTGATTTCATGGCAGATGTCCTGTCTATTAGGCTTTGAGCTTCCACACACCAGAACGCTGCAGACCAGCAAACTGCCAAAACTTCTGCTTTTATAGAGGTGCTCACACTCACACTGATAATCAGGGATTTAATTAGGAGCGCCTGGCTGTTACTTACCCTATTAATAGCTGTGAAAGCAGTAAGGGTGCACATAGTTTTTAATTAAACAGATATTTACACAGTGTAGAGTGCCATGTTTTGTTGTTATTAGGTTGAATTCATTTCATTTTAAGACTTGCTGAGAACCAAATGATTTTTTATGTATTTGATTTTATTAACATATGATATTCATATAAATATTTACGTATTTATTAATT